ACATAATATATAAATAAAATAAAATAAAAAAATAAAAAATAATTATCTTTTATCACACAACTTAAAAAAAAACTATAACTTACGCTGAATCCCAAAATCAAGTCGGCTAGGCCTTTTCTGTCCAATTTCCGAAAACACGCCAAGCCAATTAGCCAAACACGCCCTTGGAATTGATTGCCGTCAGCGTGGGGGAAGAAAGTGAATGTTAAACCACAGGGGCAGCATCTTACCCGTTTGCCTGTTGCACTAAAAGAAGGAAAAAGAAAAGAAAGGGGAGAGCGAAAAGCGAAATGGATTTGCTCCCGGCGGAGAACTCGCGGATCGCGATGAAGCACGGCTTCAGGTCACTGAAGCTGGTGAATGTCAATATGGACCAAGAGTTTGAGCGGCAGCCCTTCGGTGTGGACTATGGTAGGCTCGATAATGGTCTCGTTTACTATGTTCGCCGCAATCCCAAGCCTAGAATGAGAGCCGCTCTTGCTCTTGTTGTCAAAGTCGGGTTGGTGTTCTCTAAACTCCGCTTTTGATATGTTGTAATTTCTTTGATTTTCGATTCTGTTTCTTATGCTGCTATGTCGCTGTTGCTACTTTGTATGTGGAATCCTTTGTGTTTGTTGTGTTAGCTTTAATCATGGAAGCGAAAGCATGTGGAAAAGTAGCAGTCTGCCACGTTGGGTAGAGAGAAATCATGTAATTGAAATTTTCGGATGAAAAAATTTGGGAGAAGGTGGTGGAATTGTGATTTTATGGATGCTTTTTGAAGACTTATTTGTAGATGAAATCCGAAACCCAAGCTTTGTGTTGCAAGGGCTCTTTATGTTTCTGAGAAAGATTTGTATTTGTTTAGCTATTAAGAGATGGATTTTATGAGCAATTATTTTGGATTTGCATTTATGAATTTTGCTTTCTGAACCATATATATTCGCATAGGAACTCTAAAGAAGCTGATTTGTGGGATTCATGGCAGCTCAGTTTTGGAAGAAGAGGATGAACGTGGAGTTGCTCACATAGTTGAGCATCTTGCTTTCAGTGCAACAAAAAAGTATACAAATCACGATATTGTCAGATTCCTAGAAAGCATTGGAGCCGAATTTGGTGCTTGTCAGAATGCAGTGACATCTGCAGATGAGACCATATATGAGTTGTTTGTTCCCGTTGACAAGCCTGAACTTTTATCACGAGCAATTTCAGTCTTGGCAGAATTCAGTTCAGAGGTGTTATCTGACCCCTTATTGTCTTTGGGATAGTTTCCATTAAACTTCTTCTTAGTATCATCATTTGAGCCATGCAGATCCGAGTGTCAAAAGAAGATTTGGAAAAAGAAAGAGGAGCTGTCATGGAAGAGTATAGAGGTAACCGAAATGCTAGTGGGAGGATGCAGGATGCACATTGGATTCTCATGATGGAAGGTTCAAAGGTACTGCAATTGGCTTCAAACCAATTTTACAACTTTTATGTACTTCTCTGTCAATTATTGCACCAAGCAAGTGACAAGCCTGTCTTGACTATGTGTGTGTGTTTTTTTCTTCCTTTATTTTTCTTTTTTAGTACTCATAGCAGGATAAAAAATTCAATGAACTCTACTTTTTGTACCAAATTGTGATAAGATCTTTATATATCTATTCTTACTCTATATGTATTATAGAGCGGTATTAGTTAAGGGTTTAGGGTTAACAAGTAATGTTGTTATTACTTACTAACCCATTTTGTTTTTTCTTGTTAATCTTAATTGTAGGGCTTGTGTTCATTAACCTTATTCTTAAAACTCTGGTTGATTGCAGTATGCTGAGCGCCTACCAATTGGGTTGGAAAAAGTAATTCGAACTGTTTCTCATGAGACTGTAAAACAATTTTATCAAAAGTGGTATCACCTACACAATATGGCAGTGATAGCTGTTGGAGATTTTCCTGATACAAAGGTTTATATTTGTAGATATGCAAATTTGATAATTGGAATTATTGGCATGTTTATGGTCAATTTCTTAACAGCCTCCTTCTCTTTCCATAGAGTGTTGTTGACCTGATAAGGACTCACTTCGAGGGGAAAAGTTCGGCACCTGGCCCTCCATCTGTACCAGTCTTTCCTTTTCCATCTCATGAGGAGCCACGTTTTTCATGTTTTGCAGAATCTGAAGCTGCTGGGGTTAGTATATTGCAAATCTTGAACTTGCTTTTGTATATGGTCATGAGTCATCTCTCTTAACACAGTTAAATGTTGAAAATTTCTATTCTAACCCGTCTCTCTCTGCTTTGGAATTGTCCTCTAAAGTCTGCAGTGATGATTAGCTATAAAATGCCAGTTGATGAACTAAAGACAGTGAAACAGTATCGAGATATGCTTGCAGAATCCATGTTTCTGCATGCTCTAAACCAGAGGTTTTTCAAAATGTCTCGTAGAAAAGATCCACCCTATTTCTCCTGCTCAGCTGCTGCAGATGTTCTTGTTCGCCCATTGAAAGCTTATATAATGAGCTCATCTTGTAAAGAAAAAGGAACTCTGGAGGCCCTAGAATCTATGCTGATCGAGGTATGGTTTCTATTTTTCATCTTTTTACTTTCACCATTGTTCTCTTTCTTCCTTTATTTTCCTTTTTAACAGTTTTCCTTATGAATTACATCTCAGGTTGCAAGGGTACGACTTCATGGGTTCTCAGAACGTGAAATATCTGTTGTTCGAGCTTTACTAATGTCAGAAATTGAATCTGCCTATTTGGAACGTGACCAAATGCAATCTACCAGCTTGCGAGATGAATATGTACAGGTGGACTATTATAGAATCTCCTGTAGTTTCTGTTTTAACCTTGAAGTCATTAGACTTGGAAAATTCTTTATCATTATATTTTCATTTTGCAGCACTTTATCCGAGATGAACCTGTTATTGGGATTGAGTATGAAGCTCAACTCCAAAAATCAATTCTGCCTTGTAAGTAAATGTTTTGCAATTTCAAGTTTTTTCCATTTGGAGTTATAATTTAATAACCTCAGTTAATGTTATACATGTTACTCCAAATTGCTAAACATAATCTCATATATTATATAGATATTTCGGCCTCAGAGGTATCCAAGTATGCTGAAAAATTGCAACCGTCATGCAGCTGTGTCATAAAGACAGTTGAGCCTCGAGCTTCAGCTACAATTGATGACCTCAAAAAGGTTGTGTTGAAGATCAACAATCTTGAGAAGGAAAGGAGCATTTCTCCTTGGGATGATGAACAGATTCCAGAAGAAATTGTTAACATAAAGCCAAATCCAGGGTAAGAGTTGTAACCTTTCTTATGGTGATGTATCCTCCTATTTAGCTTCTCTGTAACATTTGAAAATCTACAATTTTTGGGATATGTTTGGATTGAGGAAAATGGAAGGGAGGGGGAGGGTAATGGAAGGATACAATTTGTATCCTCATTTGTATAGGTTAAAATGAATGAAGGAATTAAAAGAGAAAAATGGAATAAAGGAAGGTCTTGCCCCCTCCCCTTCAATCTTTTGGTAACCAAATACGGGAATTTTCTCCCCTCCCCTCCATTTCCCTCAATCCAAACATAACCTTAGTGAATTTATTCTCCCTTGAATTTATTCTCCCTTGGTACCCATTTATTTGTTGTATTGTACCATACTAATATGACCTCTAGTCATAGTTATAATTTTGGTTGGGTTATTTGGTTTTCTAGCTAATATAATGCTCTTTTGGTTTCAAGCTCAAAGTAATATGAAGAATTATATGGTTTTCTTTTACTTTTGTACTAGACTCATGGCTGATTGCAAAATCTTAGTTTGGATTGGATTGATTACTCAATTTCGTTATATAACTCTAGTAAAGTCTGGTAAAATAATTTGCTTCAGGGACATTGTAGAGCAGTTTGAGTACCCAAATATTGGAGCCACTGAAATAATTCTATCAAATGGCATGAGGGTCTGCTACAAGTGTACAGATTTCTTTGATGATCAGGTATACTTTCTCTAGGCCTTGCAGTATTTGTAGTTAGAAATGCAACCTTGTTGGAGTGGCTTGGCATGCGCTGACAATATTCAATTTGAATCTTCATACTAGAAATAAGCTCTATAAACAATTTTAGGTGCATTTTATTTAGACTTTAAGCCATTTAGTTTATGTTGACACCAGTTCACAAATTTTATGATTCCTTCTTAACCTTTTCAACAGGTTCTTTTTACAGGGTTCTCATATGGGGGTTTATCTGAACTCCCAGAAAGTGAGTATATTTCATGTTCAATGGGATCAACCATCGCTGGAGAAATTGGTGTATTTGGGTACAGACCATCTGTGCTGATGGATATGCTAGCTGGAAAGCGAGTAGATGTTGGTACAAAGCTTGGGGCATACATGAGAACCTTCACTGGTGATTGTTCACCCACAGACTTGGAGACTGCCTTGCAGGTTTGCTTCCCTGGATTTCACCAAAACTTTTTGCTTATCAGCACTCTTCTAAAATTTAACATATTGTTGACAGCAAAAAACTTCTTTGATAAGTTCTTTTTTTAACATTTTTGTTAAGAAATTGTTCTACACCTTATTTTTTTAATAAAATAATCCTAAGAACTTAACAAAAGATATGATTCTTCACTTGGTACCTGAGCCTTATGATATTTCGGGTGCCTACTCTCATCTTGAATGCTTGTTAATCTTGAATCGTGTTACTCATCTGTGATTATTGGACTTACCATTATTCTTTCACATGGTCAGTTCTAATTGCCTTCATCTCATTATGCCCCCTATTAAGATGCTACTTTGTAATCCTTATAGGTTCTTGCAATCACGGATATTCTCTCCATTCATCTTAAACATCTGTTTTAGCCACATTTATTTTGTGTTGACATAATTTCTTGAGGCCTGCCAATGAATATACAGTGATTCTCCAGTGGACTGGCAAATGGACAGTGGAAAAATGAAAAGGAAGAATAATCTAAATCTCAAGAATGTGTGCTATTTTTCTCCCTGTTTTTTAGTTGAGTTTCAAATGTGCTATGAAAAATTCCTTACATTTTGTGGTCAAATGGTCAGCACAAATTAACAGCCTCCTGCTTGGCAGACAACATTCTGTTCTGATTTATCAAAATTCAAAATTAGTGTGCTACATTCTTCATTTTATCTTTCTCTACTGAATCTTACCGTACAAATTTCTCAATCATGTAGTTGATCATGTCTGTTTGCAGCTTGTCTATCAGTTATTCACGACCAACGTGATACCAGGAGAGGAGGATGTTAAAATAGTGATGCAAATGGCAGAAGAAGCGGTTCGTGCTCAAGAGAGGGATCCTTATACTGCATTTGCTAATAGAGTCAAAGAGCTAAACTATGGAAATTCCTATTTTTTCCGGGTATGAATGATCTTATGTTTTGTGCCCTCATTTTTCTTTTCTTTTTGGCCAATGGTTTGTGCCTTGTCATAGCAATATAACTTTTTTAATTTCTACCTTTGCAGCCAGTTAGACTAAGTGACCTTAGAAAAGTTGACCCGCTAAGAGCTTGTGAATATTTCAACAGCTGTTTTCAAGATCCATCGAGTTTCACTGTAGTGATTGTAGGGAACATTGACCCAAGAATTGCACTTCCCTTAATATTGCAGTATTTGGTAAGTTGGATCTTTTTATGCTACCTAAATCTGCATCCATTGTTTCTTATATTAACTGGTTTGTGATTCTCCATTCAGGGTGGAATACCAAAACCTTCCAAACCTATTTTCCATTTTAACCGTGATGACCTCAAAGGATTACCATTCAAATTTCCTACAACTGTAATAAGGTGAGTAACAAATATGGCCAGCAGTGGAAGCAATGTTGAGATGTTTAACTGGAAGTGTTTGATGTATTTAGTTATACTGAATCTGACTGTGTCTTTCACACAGACATGGTGACAACTCTTCCTTTTTTCTCATGTCGAATCCTGTATTCTACCTGTTGGCATCTTACTCCTTTTCTAATGCATTTTTGGTTCTTGTAGAGAAGTGGTACGGAGCCCCATGGTTGAAGCACAATGTTCTGTCCAGCTATGTTTTCCTGTGGAGCTGAAGAATGGAACCATGGTTGGTCACTGCTCTTCTTTATTTGATCTATGAAAAGCTCAACTTATGGAGCAACCTAGAGCCTGGATTTTTGTTTTATTTTTTCTTTCTGTTGAAACAAAAAATCAATTGGCAGGTAGAAGAGATTCACTCTGTTGGGTTCCTGAGCAAGCTTCTTGAAACAAAAATAATGCAGGTTCTCCGTTTCAAGCATGGACAGGTATGCATGCATGTTTAAAGATATTATATTTTTATCAGTTTTTTAGACTTTGACTAACATTTCTAAAATTGCCCTCTGTGTCCCAGATCTACTCTGCAGGTGTTTCAGTGTTCCTTGGTGGTAATAAACCTTCTAGAACCAGTGATTTACGTGGTGATATTAGCATAAATTTTTCTTGTGATCCAGAAATTTCATCAAAGTTGGTAGGTTCTCTGGGGGTAAAATCACCCTTTTTATTTTTTAAAATCTACCATTAACTGTCTAACTATGGGTATTTTAAATTATGCAATATTTCTTGATAGGTTGATCTTGCTTTGGAAGAAATCTTGCGTCTTCAAGAGGAAGGGCCTTCAGATCAAGATGTCTCAACCGTACTAGAAATTGAACAAAGAGCCCATGAAAATGGACTACAGGTTAAATTTCTCTTTCATCTTTTTTATACCATTTTGGTACATATGGCTTTCAAGATCATGAAGGATAGAATCTTATATCCTCAGCTATAGGCTCTAGATCATCTTTATCTTATTTAACCAGGGTACTTGACATTATCACACAAATTTAAGTTGTCAAATTTTAGATATTCTTGTAAAATTTAATTCTGGATTCTTTTTTGCTGTCACTCCTTTCAGGAAAACTATTACTGGCTGGAGAGGATTTTTCGCAGCTATCAGTCAAGGATCTATTCTGGTAATGTTGGGACTTCTTTTCAGGTTGGTGACGGTCATTTCTCCCTTTTCTTTACATAATTGGGGTACAAATTAGTATCTAGTTATTATTGCATTAAACTTTTTAATTATTTCTCTGGTGAAGATTCAAGATGAAGGACGCACCAGGCTCAGGGAATCTCTGACTCCATTAACAGCACAGATGGCGTTGCAGAGGATACTGCCTTACCCTTGCAAAAATCAGTACACTGTTGTGATTCTTATGCCCTGTCGGTTTAGGTTGTCAAGATTATTTTCAAGACGGACTTCTTACAGTAGAGATGCAAAGGTCAGTAGTGTCCACTTATTTTTTCCTGGAACAAATTGCATGCATGTTCTCTTTCAATCCCTTATATTCAAATCAGATTTTCACCCACGTAATTGATCTCAATACGTTACATTAATTTCTAAAAAATTCACATAACAAACTAGTTTTTTCGGTGTTGACAGGTTTTAGCTGGCATTGCGGCTTTGACTATTTTCGTGTTTTGTTTGTGGAGATATCCGCGAAAGCCTTAGGAAATTCGTTCCTGGTAGATCATAGAACTTTCTGCTAAGAACACGGTGGATTCTTCTTTCCTTTTGCCAAAGATGATAGCAAGACGTAGTCATAAACTACCACTTTACCAGAGGAGGCAGTGATTCATTTTTATACCAGGGGTGATTGCAGGCTTAGATACGTTAAAATACATTTTTTTTAAAATCTGATCTCAGCTGTAGCATGTTGAATCTTATTCCGTTATTTTATTTTTATTTAGTGATGATATAAACTTTGGCTTTGTTCTTCGCGTTAAGTGTAACGTACCGCCACCTAATGGTAGTGGAGAATCAGTACCAAATGAAACTATTAAATTGAAAGATTATTCAAGACATCTACTCATATGAATGAGTCTACAAAGCTTCGTTAGAAATGACCCACGGGAAAAGATCTCCTAGGGTGTGATCCTCCCTAGATGCAAGTCAAGAACAACAGCGTAGGTCAAGGTAGTTGTTTCCTTAAAAATCTTATATTTTGAGATCTAACATTAAATAACATTAAAATTAAATATAAATGGTGATTAAACTAATATGCTTAAAATCGAGAAGAAACCTAAATGTCATAAGTAATTGTTTGATGAAACATTATTTATTATAAACATTAACCCAATTATAGTTAGAAAGAGAACACTAACTTGAAGAAATTCAAAAGCTTAAAATTTATTACATAAAACAAAATTGCTGAAATGAATACATAAATTAATTTGATTATTTGAATGATGAAAAACAATCTAAATCTACTGGGAGTTGTGATGAAATTTGAAATCTATTAGCAAAAGTAAGCAATTGCAGAGAAATTGAAAACATGAAAATTTGTAGGTTGTGTGTAGGGGTTGGTTGTGTGTTTTGTGATTCAAAATTTCTTTTTTGTTCTCCTTTTCCTTTTTCTGACTGTAACTTCTCACTTTTTGCAGTTACACAAATTGTAAACAGTTTTTTGATGTATTAGGACACTTCTACAGTTGACAAGATCAAACTTCCTTTCAGATTTCACCACCTGTCATATTATCTGATAACCCACACCCATAATTGAAACTTACTCATATATTTTTGCTAAAACAGACCTAATTTAACTCAAAAAGGTAATTAAAAGATAAAATCTTATCTTTTTAACTCTTTTCATCCCATGTAACAGTTGATTTATCATAAGGTCCAAAATTACCTATCTAATATGGAAAAATCCCCTCCATTCATTAAAAATTTTTTGCACATGGCATGACCTTTAATTTTTACAACTTATAATGTAAATAATGCCTCAAACACTTAATTTTATGAAAATAAATCTAAATATTTTAATTAAATAAATTGCAATCACCACTTTAATTCCCTATGCCACATGTCATACTTCTTTTACTTAAAAGAGCCACTTAAAATATCTCTCGGACCAATTTCGAAGATTATCTCCACTACCTTTCTCTTAAAATCCTTTTTTTAACTTTTAAACTCTCAAAAAATCCCCAAAAATAAGGACCTTTTAAAATTTAAAAGTCAAACTCACCATTTAATCTCTTTCTTCTTCTTCGGGACATCACTGATTTCTTCAACTTTTCTTCTGCCTCCCAAATTTGCTCCCATGGATGGTGACAAAAAAAACAGCTTCTTCTCACTGGATCTGCTTTTACCATGGCTAAAACTAAGACTATTCAACCTAAGAAACCATCCCTTGCAAATCTGGTAAGCCTCTTCCAAGCTAAAAATCTTCAAAATGAAATCAACCAAATCCTCCAACTGTTGTAAATTATATCCTATTATTTAGTCATTATCTCTATATTTTAGGAAGTTTAAGTTATTTATTTATTTTAGGTTGTTATCATTTAAATTAGATAAGATAAGATTG